ATAGAGGCAGCCCCTCCTTGTGCAGGGTGGAGGGGTATTTGGGGGAGGCATGAAGAGATGGCCTCTCTGTATGAGGCAGAGGGGTCTTTGCAGCCACGTTTGCTGATGTCTTTCTTTCTGTCCTACAATGCTAGTATTGTTCCTTATTTTTTTTTAATGCAACATAGTTGGTCCAGTAAAAGAGATCACTCTAAGGCCCCTGCTACATGTTGCATGTATTATGTTTACTGGTTAATTGCACAATAAATTTATATGAGCGATACATGCAAAGTAATTATTACTGTGTAAAAATGACTATCCAGCTATAAAAAAAAAACTAAGCAGCTATAAAGTTAGTGCCCAAAAGTGTGCAACAACTCTACAGCTGGTTTCTATCCAGCTTTAATTTGAACATGCAACAGGGACCTAAGAAATCCCTTCACATTTTAAACTCTCCCTTGTAATTAGGATCTCTTGCCACATGAGGGCACCACACTAGAATACATCATGTTCTTATTAACTGTCTAGACTCTAATTATATGTTCCAATCCAAGACAAGCTGTTTAAAAAACAAAAAACCAAAAAAACCTTCAAAATATATGCCAGGTGCAGTATTCCTTGTGTAATTTTATTTTTATATTAAATTGAGTTTGCCACCCCACTGTTGGTAGAATGTGAAGGTATAAAAATAAGTGTGGCAGTGGCATGTTGAACAGAACTTTAACTATTCTCATCCAGATGGTTCCCAACAGTGGGTTCACAACCCAAGGAAGGGTCACTTCACACAGCTGCAGCCCACCAGCGGAGCTGATAACCAGTACTTTAAAGTAAAAGATCCAGTGATCAGGAGAAGCAGGGCAGCAATCATGCAGTTGTATCTCTCCAGAGTTGGTTTGCAAACCTTCATTTCCACAGGGTTTAGGGAACCAAACCTAATAATTTGACTGGGTTCTACAGTATTGACTTGAGGAAAGCATAGGGACAGAGAGAATGTGGACAGTCAGGTAGCTGCTGGAGTTTTAGAAGGGAAGGGATGAATCTCCCCTCTCTCCCTCTGGTGGAAAGAGTTGAGGGATTTTTGAATTTTAGAACTTCACACATGGAGTGGGTAGTAAATACAGGGTCCTATTTCCATTTATGTACCATCTGACCTGTCATTTGATAGAGGAATAGCATTCTTACATTTCTGAAGGGAAGCAGACCTAGAGGTCCCTTCCATCCCCATGATTTTATATTGCACCTCTACCCAAAATAGATAAGCACATTTCTGCAGATTCTTTGTCTGATGGGAAACAGGTAATACCTGTGAACCCATCTGTTGTTAAATCTAAATGTCAAGACACTTTCAAAAAGATTTGGAATAATTAATGTTGTTTACATATTTAAGAAGTCAACTCTGGTAATGTTTGCATTCTTGTACATTTATTTCCACAACCATAATGGCTAAAAACAAAATTTTAAATAAAAATCTTACATTCTGTGGCCACTTAGTGGTCCCAAGAACAAACAGAGCTTTGGTCATTATTAACAGCTGTAAATTCTCTTCCCTCCTCAGACTAAGGGCAGATTACTCAAAGATAAATTTCCATAGACAGCAATAGGCTGAATTGTAGCAATCTATTCACTTACATTTTTTCAATAGTATAATAAAAATGGGGGGAAGAATCAGTTGTTATAACACATGCACACACAGTGTCATCTGGACAGAGTAAAAAAGCTGATCCCTGCAAGTCTGCCAGATGCAGAATTTGCTTTAACTGGACCCAAACGAAAACCTTGGATCCAAAAATCCCCTAATGTACAAGAAAGTATGGATTGGCACTTTCTGGCATTAAGCCCTCTCTTCTGTTTATAACGCCGTAAGCAAATACAAATATCCTTTAGGTACTATTTTAAATCAGATGAAGCTCTAGATTTCACCACTGCAAATATGAATTTTACACTTAAAGCCTAACTGCGTGGGAAAACCAAAAAGAACAAATAAGCTACGTTTTTCCTCAATGAAAATGGTTTCAGGGTTTCAGTTTCATTGTAGCAGCCAGAAACAATTCACAAAGTAAACTTAAAGATTGGCCACTCAAATGACCTGTCCTTTTGCTTGTCCCTGAAGAAGTGACAGAGGCAGAAGAAAAGAGGCACATACCATATGTATTTGCAAATAAGCATAAAAAGCAAAAAAGAAAAGAAATGTGTCAGTAAAGGCTGGTCTTCTTCATGATCCGCAGAAATTCCTGCTCATTCACTTCCCCATCTCCATCTCTATCTGCTTCATCGATCATTTCCTGCAGGATGGTAAAAATTCAGCGACTACATTAGATAGGGTCATTAATGTATACTATTGAGAAGAAAATGGAATGAAAAAGATTCAGGCTTTCATTACAACAAGCTTCAAACTGATAACTGATGAAGTTACCACAGTAGAGTAGAGGAAACTGGAGGGAATGGAAAAACTAAGGGCCGAGGGAAAGAAATAATTTAAGTAAAGTTCAGCACTCTCTGAAGTTCCAAGTATAATTTGTGTATTTGTACATTAAGGACTGGATCTTTGGGTTTGGGTAAGCTGCCCAACACAGGAAGGGCCAGGATTTATGTAGGGACGAATGGCAAGAGATCTGCTGGGTACTGTAGCCTCATCCCTTTAAAACAGAACATGTTCATGGACCAAGATTTTACTGCAAAGCACTTGGAGTCTGCAGCACTCCGGCACTACAGACTTCGTAGCAGTTTTATGTCATTTAAAAAATAAGAAACTGAATAATACAATCAATGCCTATGTACATAGACAAACTCACACAGAAGTACAAACCTGCAGTTCCTCATCTGTGAGATTTTCCCCAAGCTCTTTGGCTACACGCTTAAGATTCTTGAAAGAGATTTTGCCAGTCTCATCATCATCGAACAGTTTGAAGGCTTTCAGAATCTCCTCTTTAGAATCTTTTTCAGCCTTAAAAAATTAAACATGCAAGTTCCCAGAAAAGTGTTGTTAATGTGTAGCTGCAACTAAAAATTCTTATCAGTAACTTAAGAATAAAAAATGTTCACGAAAGCAAATGCATTGAGTTCCCTGTGTTTATAACAACATTAAATTTTAAAGAAACCCAGTGATCAGGAAATACACAATACTTAGTGAAAACATATACAAAGTCTTATTGCTGCACATGCAGCAGTGTTCTCTAAACTGCACTTGTTTGTTCTTTTCACATCTGGAATCTTTGGATGAGTAACCAGTTTTGCAGTATTAAGCTACAATGCTTTTCAAAGATTTTTAAATGTACAGACTACAGTTGTTAATATCTTAAAAACTGGAAAGTCCTCAACTCCATTACAACAATTGTAACAGTCATCCACACACTTTATCACAACTTATCACTTCTCAGTAATCAAAATTATTTTTCCTTACACTTATGTAGTCCTAATAGCATTACTTTCTTTTTCACTCCTCCTCCTCCT